TCCGTCGCGCCCATCTCGCTCATCGTGTCGCGCACGCGCCGCGTCTTCTCCTTGACGTCGGCGAGCGCGGCCGCGCGCCGCGCGTCCTCCTTCGCGCGCTTCTTCGCCGCGTCCTCCTTCGCGCGCGCCGCGTCCCACTCCTCGGGCGCCGCGGCGGGCGACGACGCGGCGGGCGACGACGGCGACGAGGAGACGACGGGCGAGGTCGTGGCAGGCGAGGAGTGCTCAAACGAGGACTCGGCTGCAATCTCGGCGGCGACCTGGTCGAGGTCGGCGACGGTCTCGTCTTCATCGAGCAACGGCGCGCTCGCAGCATCGGATTTGCTCTCCGGCGTGCCAAGGGCGGCCGCGTTGCCAGTGGCCGCGTTTGGCAGAGCCATCAGAGACTTGAAAAAGGAAAGTTGCAGTTCAACAACCGGTGCGGGCCCGCCTCGAGGCGCTTCTCGGAGCTGCGGGAAGCTTCGGTCCCTGCGCGCTCGACAACGCAGGTGAGCACGACGCCCAACTTCTCGCGCGCGCGCGAGCGTCCGCGAGCGCCGCGCGAGCGAGCCCGGCGTCCGAGCCTCGGACCGCGGCGGGATGCCGCGGCCCTCCGAGTCGTAGATTCGAAGACGAGTTACGTGCGTGCCCCGCGGCGTCGGATCGCCGGGGGCCGTCCTAGGGCGCGGCCATCTCGACGCCGGCGTTCTCGGCCGCGGCCGCGGCCTTGGCGGCGGCCTCCTTCTTTGCGCGCATCTTCTCCTGGGCCTTCTGGCGCACGAGGCCGATCCAGGACGACCGCACGAGGGCCTCGAACTGCTCGTCGAGCTCGATGGTGATGCTCTGGATGTCGTAGTAGTCCTCGAAGAGCTGGCGCGTCACGGGCCCGCCGTCCATGGACAGCGCCTCCAGTAGCTCCGCGCGCACGTCCTTGGCCGTGCGGTTCCCGGCGACGACGTCCGGGTGCGCGTCCGAGTCGAAGGCCGCCGCCATCTCCGTCGCGTCGAGCGTTTTCGCGTTGCCGAGCGTCGAGTAGAGCCGCGTGATGAACGAGCGTCTCCTCTCGTTCATGTGGCCCGCGTCGACGTGGAGCTTGAAGAACTCCTCGTCCATGGACCGCTTCGCCTGGGGAGCGCGCGTCAGGGAGGTCGCGCGGCGCGGCGGAGCGGCGGGCGAGGCGGGAGGCGCGGCGCGCGCACCTGGATGTCTGGTTTCGCCTCCTGACAGCACGGACAGAAGAAGCCCATGGCGTCGGCGCCGGCGAGGCGCGCGGCGCGTCGAGCGGCCTCGAGCGGTCGAGTGCGAGGCGCCCAAGCTTGCCAAAAGCACCGGCCCGCGATTGCGATCTCGGCTGTCGAAATTAAGGGTTTGTTGCAGCTCGGGTGCAGCCAAAGGTGCACCTCACTAAACGCCGTCGTCGCGGCTGCCACGAGATGCTCGGCTTGCTATAGAACGCCAAGATGCCTCGGCGCCGCAGCCGCTCCCGATCGAGCAGCTCGTCGAGCTCCAGCAGCTCGTCGCGGAGCCGCGGGCGGCCGCGCGCGAAGCGGAAGCCGACGCAACGAAAGGGCCGGTCGACAAAACGCCCGCCGCGCGGCAAGGCGAAGAAGCGCCGCGGGCGGTCGAGCTCCTCGTCGTCCTCGTCGAGCAGCAGCAGCAGCAGCAGCTCGTCGCGCAGCCGGAGCAAGAAGCGCAACGCCGCCCGCCGGCGGCCCGCGCGCGAGAAGAAGGAGCAGAAGGAGAAGCCGCCCAAGGCGGCGCCCGCGCCCGCGCCCGCGGACGTCGCCGCGCCGCCGGAGGTCGCCGAGCCGCACACGGCGACCGTCGGCGAGAGCGGGAGCTACGAGGACATGTCGTCGGCGCTCGACGCGGCGACGGCGCGCGGCGACGGGCCCGCGGCGCTCGAGATCGCCGCGGATCTCTGCCGCGCGACGCGGGGCTACCTGCCCCGGGGCGCGTCCCTGCGGCGCGCCGTCGTGCTCTGCTGCCGGCGCGGCGAGGTGCGCGAGGCCGTCGCGTTCCTCGAGTCCATGCGCGCCGCGCTCGCGCGGCCGCGGCCGCCGGGCCGGAGCGGCCGGCGGAAGCGGCCGTGGTGCCGGAGCCGGCGCTGCCGCCCGCTCGACGCGACGGGCGTCCTCGCGGCGCTGCGGGCCCTGCCGGCGTCGTCGTGCGTCGCGCCGGAGCTCGGCAAGCGGCTCGTCGAGAGCCTCGCGGCGCTCGCGGTGCTCGAGCCGCGCGCGTTCGCGCGCGAGCGCGAGGGCTTCGCGCACCTCGAGGCGACGAACGCGGCGTCCCTGGAGACCGCCGCGGCGTCGCGGGACCGCGACGCCGCGGCGACGCTGCGCCAGCGCGTCGACAAGCACCTGACGGGCGAGGCCACGGACACGGACGACGAGCTCGGGCCGGACCTCGCGCGGCGCGCGCGCCGCGCGCACGCGAGGGCGCTGCGCTTCGCGACGCGGCGCGCCGTCTGGGCGACCATGGAGCTGCTCGAGGAGACGGCGGCGGCCTTCGGCGCCATCCTGGGGAGCGAGCCCAAGGCGCTCGCGCGCGCGGGCCGCTGCGTCTTCGGCGTCCGCTGCCGGCCCGGCAAGGCCGCGGACGAGCTCGAGTGCGCCGGCGGCGACGACGGCGGCGGCGAGGCGCGGCGGGGCCTCCAGTCCGGCGACGCCGTCGCCCTGTCGCCCGTCGGCGAGTTCGAGGCCGCGCGCGCGCGGAGCCTCGCGTTCAGGGACCCCGTCGCCGAGGCGCGCGGCGCGTGCCGGCGCGCCGCGGAGCTCGTCGCCAACGCGGCGCAGGCCGCGGGCCGCGCCCGGCGCGCCGAGGCGGCCCGCGCGGCGGCGCTGCGGGACTGCGTCGGCGCCGCGTTCCTCGACTCGCAACGGGCGGAGCTCGCGGAGCTGCGGCGCGAGCGCGAGACGCGCGAGGCGCAGCTCGCGGCCTGGCTCAAGTCCTTCGCCTCCTCGAAGGCGGACCAGGCCGAGCGCCGCGAGGCCCTCCGGGCGACGCTCGACCGGGAGCGCGCCGACCTCGAGGCCGCGCACGCCAAGGCCGTCGCCGCGCGGACGTCCGAGGGCGCCGCGGCCGCGCCGCTCGCGGCGCGCGACGCGGAGGTCGCGGAGGCGGCGCAGCAGCTGCGGCTCGCGGAGCGCGTCGCCCGGGACGCCGTCGCCGCCGAGATCCGGGCCTGGGCGAAGGCGCGCGACCCGTCGTCGCGCCTCGCGGCGTCCGCGCTCGTCGTCGAGTGCGAGGTCGTCTCCGCGCGGCCCCTCGTGCTCAAGTGCGTCTGCGAGGACGGGTCCGAGGGCTTCCCGGACCTCGACACGCCGCGGCAGCACGACGACGACCGGCGGCGGCGGAACCGGCGGACGCCGCGGGGCCGGCGGCCGCCGTCGTTCGCGCCGCCGGAGGCCGACGGCGAACCCGGCGCGCCCTGGATCGCGAAGCGGATCCTCGGCGCGTCCTGCGGCGCCGACGTCGCCGCCGCGGCCCTCGACGAGCGCCACGGCGAGCTCGCGGCGCCGCGGGGCTGGCGCGTGGACCGCCTCGGGAACCGCGTCGCGTTCGAGCGGAGCGTCGAGGCGACGTTCGTCGTCGCGGCGGCGGCCTACGAGCCCCACGACGCGGCGGCGCTGCGGCCCAAGTACGGCGAGGCGAGCACGAAGCTCGACGCGCGGCCCTGGTGGTTCCCGGAGCCGAGGTTGGCGGCCGCGCTCGCCGGCGTCGCGCCGCCGCCCGGCGGCGACGACGCGGCGCCGCGGCGCCGCGCCGCGGCGCCGCAAAAGCCGCCGGACGAGACGCTCATGTTCGTCGAGGGCGCCGCGGGCCCATCGGCGGCGACGGCGCTCAATCCCGGCCAGCGCGCGGCGTTCGAGCGCGCGGCGTTCGGCGACGCGCCCGTCGCCTTGATCCACGGGCCGCCGGGCACGGGCAAGACGGCCGTCGCCGTCCGCGTTCTCGCACACTGGGCGTCCCTCAACGCCCTCGACAGCGACGACGAGCGCGGCGACGACGGCGCGCCGAAGCAGCAGATCAAGGTCCAGGGCGGCAAGGTCTTCATGCATCGCCCCGCCGCGAAGCCGAAACCGAAGGTCAAGGCGCCCTACTGCGACCACTACCCGCAGATTCTCTGCGTGAGCGAGAGCCACGTCGCCGTCGACCATTTGCTGGACGGGCTCCTGCGCGCGCGCGTCAAGGCCGTCCGCGTCGGCGCGCCCGCGGGCTACCGCGACGACGGCCGCCACGGCGCCAAGGTCGCGGAGCTCGCGAAGCACTCGCTCGAGGTCATCGGGCGGGACGCGCGCGGCTCCGCGCGCGCGGGCGGCCTCGACGGCGGCGCGTGCCACGCGGCCGCGCGCGAGGCCCAGGCCCGCGCGCTCCGGAAGGCCCGCGTCCTCTGCGCGACGTGCGTCGGCGCGGGCGCGCGCTTCCTCCGGGGCGTGCGCTTCCGCAACGTGCTCGTCGACGAGGCGGCCCACGCGACGGAGCTCGCGGCGCTCGTCGCCTGCGCGCGCGGCTGCCGGCGCCTCGTGCTCGTCGGCGACCACTGCCAGCTGCCGCCGACGGTGTCGTGCCGCGCCGCGGAGCTCGACGGGCTGACGCGGTCCCTCTTCGAGCGCCTCGCGGCGAGGGCGGCGGACGTGAGCCTGCTGGCGACGCAGTACCGCGCGCCGCCGGCGCTCGCGGCGTTCCCGTCCGCGCGGTTCTACGCGTCTCGGCTCCGCGACTCCGAGGCCGCGCTCGGCGGGCCGCCGCCGACGAACCCGCCGGGCTTCGCCTGGCCCCGGCCGGACCTGCCCCTGGCCTTCCTGCCCGTGCCCGCGGCGGCGTGCGAGGTCCGCGAGGGCACGTCGCTCAAGAGCGACGCCGAGGCCGCGCTCGTCGTCGCCGTCGCGCGCGGCTTCGTCGACTACGACGGCAACGGGCTCGGCGCCGGCGACGTCGCCGTCGTGACGCCCTACGCGGCGCAGGCGCGCCTGCTCGCGCGGCTCCTGCGGGACGACGCGTCGCCCGCGCTCGCGCGCGTCGAGGTCGCGTCCGTCGACGCCTTCCAGGGGCGCGAGAAGGCCGTCGTCGTCTTCTCCGCCGTCCGCGCCAACGACCGCGGCGACGTCGGCTTCCTGAGCGACTGGCGCCGGGCGAACGTCGCGCTCACGCGCGCGCGGCGCGGCCTCGTCGTCGTCGGCCACGCGGCGACGCTCGCGCGCGAGGCCAAGGCCTGGCGGCCCTGGCTCGCCTTCGCCTGCGCCCAGGGCGCCGTCGTCGGCGGCGACAACGCGCTCGACGTCGGCCGCGGCGAGACCCTTCTCGTCGAACGCGCGCGGCCCGCGCGCGCGGGCGACGTCCGCTCGGTGTCGCGCGCGCTCGCCTGGGACTGGGGCGCCGCGCCGCAGCCCCTGGACCACGCCCTGACGCCCCTCGGCGAGGCGTCGAGCTCCTCCGAGTCCTCCGAGTCGTCGGACTCGGACGGCGGCGCCGCGGCCGCGGACGACGCGGCCGCGGACGACGCGTCGCCGGCGCCGTCGTCGCCGTCGTCGTCCGACGCGGAGTCGGAGGCCGCCGAGGCGCCGGACGACGCCGCGCCCGCGGCGCCGGGCGACGACGAGGCCGCGGCCATGGACGCCTTCGCCGCCGCGGGCGACGACGACGGCGACGACGAGGCCGAAGCCGCGCGGCGCGCGTCCGCGCGCAAGGCGAAGCACGACCAGATCAAGGCCAAGCACCTCGCCGAGGCCCAGCGGCTCTACGGCGGCGTCACGGCCAAGAAGAAGAAGCTCCTCGCCATGCTCGAACCCGAGCCCGAGCCCGAGCCGGAGGTCGCGGCGCCGGAGCCGGAGCCCGAGCCCGCGACGGAGTCGCCGCGAGCCGTCGTCGTCGCGTCGGCGCCGCCCGTCCTCGTCGCGAGACCGCCCGCGCCGCCGCCGCCGCCCCCGCCCGCGGCGCTGCCCCCGCCGCCGCCGCCGCCGCCGCCGCCGCCGCCGCCGCCGCCGCCCGCGGCGCTGCCGCCGCCGCCGCCGCCTCCGCCGCCCCCGCCGCCGTCCGCTCCGAAGCCGGCCGCGGCGGACTCGGATTCGGACGAGTACGAGCTCGAGGACGAGGACGACGTGGACGCGTACGAGGTCGACGACGGCGCGGCGGACGAGGCCGCCGACGACGAGGCCGCGGCGCTCGCGCGGCTTCGGGCGCTCGACGACCTCGACGCGGCCCGGCCCGGCGGCGACGCCGACGAGAGCGACGACGACGCGGCCGACGAGGCCGCGGCGGCCGCGGCGCGGGAGGCGGCGCTCGTCGAGAAGCGCGTGCCCCGCAAGGCCGAGGTGAGCGCGTTCATCGTGCCGCGCGTCGTCGCGGCCGCGGCGCAGGGCGTCGACGTGACGAAGCCCGCCGCGCCGGCGCCCCCGGCGGCGCCGGCCATCGACGTGCGCGCGCTCCAGGCCCAGGCGGACCTCGAGGCGAGCATCTCCGCCCAGCTCGCGTCGCTCTCCGCGAGCCCCGCGCTGCGGCCGACGGCCGCGCAGCTCTCGGCGGCGAGCGCGGCGCTCGCGGCCAACATCCCCGACCTCAAGGGCTTCTCGCCGCCGGACCCGACGATCTCGTCCTTCGCGCCGCCGAGCTACGTCGACGCGTCCGCCGCCGTGCCCTCGGCGGACCCCAAGGAGGAGAAGAAGAAGAAGGAGAAGAAGCCCGCGCCGTCGAGCTCGTCGTCGGACTCGGGCTCCGACTCGGACTCGTCGTCGAGCTCCTCGGAGTCGTCGGCCGCGCGGCGCAGGGCCAAGCGGCGCAAGAAGGCGCGCGCGAAGAGGGCGCGCAAGAAGGGCAAGAAGCGCAAGGGCAAGAAGCGCGCGCGGAGCCGGAGCTCGTCCTCGTCGCCCCGGCGCCGCCGCCCGCGGTCCCGGCGGCGCTAGTCGCGCGCTAACCTGTTACGGGCATCGCGACGCCCGCGGTCCCGGCGGCGCTAGTCGCGCGCTAACCTGTTACGGGCATCGCGACGCCCGTCCCGAACTGCGCGAGGGACCGCAGCAGCGCGGAGAAGCTCGGCCGCTCCGCCGGGTCCGCCGCGAGCATGGCGCGCGACAGCGCCTCGAGCCGCGCGGCCGCCGCGCGGTCCTCGGCCAGCGAGATGATGAGCGGAAGAATCCAGGACCGCGCCGCAAGGTCGTAGACGTGGACGCGCCAGTCGAAGGCCGCGCAAAGCTTCCCGTCGCAGGCGCCCAGCTCCGGCGCGGCGCTCGAGGTCGCCGCGTGTGCGTGCCACGTGTGCGTGCGCGCCGCGCAGGGCGTCGCCCCGTCGCAGACCATCGGCAGGCCCGGCTCGAGGTCGAGCCGCACGCTCTCCCCCGGCGACGGCCGCGGCCGCGGCGCGCGCCCGACGAAGATGTGCTCTCCCGCGACGAAGTGGCGCCGCGCGAAGGCCGCGACGCGGCCCGTGTTCGGCGCGGGCCCGTCGACGAGCGACACGCGGCCGCGGCCGTCGAGCGTGAACCTGCGAGGGTGCGTATGAGTCGTTTGGAGGACGCGGCGACACTCACTGGTCGGGCTTGAAGTCCGTGAGGACGAAGCCTCCGACCTCCCCGAAGGACCGGAAGCAGCGCAGCCAGGACCGGGCGAGCTCGAGGGGCGCCTCCGCCGCGCGCCGCGCGTAGGCCGCGCCCGCGATCGCGGGGCGGTCCTCGTCCGTTTTGTCGCGCGCCCCGCAGTACCCGCGCCGCGACAGCTCCCGACCGCCCTCGCATCGGAGGTGCGACGCGACCGTGTCGCCGCCGTAGGACGTCACCCAGACGACGCTCGTCGGCGTCCGCCAGCCGCCGTAGAGGCGCGGGACGCCCGGCTCGCCGCGCAGGGATTCGAGGTACAACAGTTCGAAGTACGCGATGTCGCTGTCGCGGTCGCCGAATTCGAACGCGCCGCCGTGGCGGAGCGCCTTGACGACGACGTCGACCTCGGCGCCGCCGAATCGGAGCATCGACCGATTCACCTCCTTTTGCACGGACATCTTCAACACTCGGGCCGGGCCGTCGAGGTCCCCGGGCGCGCGGACGGCCCAGTGCTTCGGCGCCTCTCGACCGCCGACGAGCCAGGCGTCGATCTCCTCGAGGCGCGCCTTGGGCGAGGCGCTCGCGAGGCCGATCGCGAGCCAGGTCGCGAGGAATCGATGCGCCATTCGAAGTCGGCGACGTCGGGTCGCCTAGAGCTTTGCAGCGTCGAGGAGTGGAGTTCAGCGATCGTACGTAAACATGGGTAACTGAAGAGGCGGTTGAAACTACGACTGAAAAAATACAGAGCCGCGCGCCGGGCAGCCCATCGCAGCGACGTCGTACGGCGACGCGCGCGCGCGCATGCGCACCTAGACGCACGACCGCGACCCATCGCGCGCGGCGTCGACGACGATGCGGCGGAACCGGTCGACGAGCGCGCCGTCGCTCCCCTTGAACGCGAACGAGGACGACGACGCCGCGGAGCGCGGCAAGAGCCGGAGCCGCCGGCAGTCGGCGGTCGTCGTCGTGATCGCCGGCGCGCTGCTCGTGCTGCTCTACATGTTCACGACGCAGGCGCACCGGGCGCCGCCGGCGCCGAAGCGCCAGCAGCGCGCGGCCGCGAAGGCGCGGGCGCGGGCGGACGCGGCCGCGAAGGCCGAGGCGCACGCGCGCGAGAGCCTGGTCGGTTCCGCGCAGGCGCGCGCGCGCGCCCAGGCGGAGAAGCGCGCGAGCGCCGCCGCCGCCGGCGACGCCTTCAAGAAGGCCCAGGCGGCGACGCGGCCGAGGCGCTCGCGAGGCCGATCGTGAGCCAGGTTGCGAGGAATCGATGCGCCATTCGAAGGGGGGCGACGCCGGGTCGCCTAGCGCTTTGCGAGCGTCGAGAAGTGGAGATTAACAGTCGCTTAATTTTATTGTAATAAAGGTAAAACATGGTACTTGAAGGCGGTTGAAACGCACAATCGTAATTTTTTCAGAGTTGGTTGCGCGCCGGGCAGCCCGCAGCGACGTCGTACGGCGACGCGCGCGCGCGCATGCGCACCTAGACGCACGACCGCGACCCATCGCGCGCGGCGTCGACGACGATGCGGCGGAACCGGTCGACGAGCGCGCCGTCGCTGCTCCCCTTGAACGCGAACGAGGACGACGACGCCGCGGAGCGCGGCAAGAGCCGGAGCCGCCGGCAGTCGGCGGTCGTCGTCGTGCTCGCCGTCGCGCTGCTCGTGCTGCTCTACATGTTCACGACGCAGGCGCACCGGGCGCCGCCGGCGCCGAAGCGCCAGCAGCGCGCGGCCGCGAAGGCGCAGGGGCGGGCGGACGCGGCCGCGAAGGCCGAGGCGCACGCGCGCGAGAGCCTGGTCGGTTCCGCGCAGGCGCGCGCGCGCGCCCAGGCGGAGAAGCGCGCGAGCGCCGCCGCCGCCGGCGACGCCTTCAAGAAGACCCAGGCGGCGACGCGGCCCGCGGCCGTGGCCACCAAGGTCGCCGCCGCGGGCCAGCGCGAGCCGCCGACGATCGGCGTCGTCGAGGAGCACCACCACGTGCTGAGCTACTACGTGCGCGAGACGCGCGCGGGCCGCTTGAAAGGCGGGGCGACGATCCTGCACGTCGACTCGCACGCGGACATGGGCGTGCCTTTGGCGTACCCGCGGGACGCGCTGCCGACGGAGAACGCGCGGGACCTGGAGCCGTACAACGCGATCAACGACTTCCTGCTGACGTCGGTGCACCTCGGCGTCGCGGCGCACATCATCTACGTCGAGCCGCCCTGGAGCAACCAGTTCCGCTGCTGCCTCTACGACACGAACGCGACGTTCCACTTCGTCGTCGGCGTCGACGGCGCGGGCCACCTCCGCGTCGACGTCGCGGGCGACACGCCGGCCAAGTTCGCCCGGGAGCACTTCGGGCACATCTTCTGGCGCGACGGCGAGCGGCGCACGGGCCACGTCGCCAAGCTGACGCGCGTGCGGCCCTTCTCCATGACCGTCGTCGCGGCGGAACACGGCGCGCTCCGGGACGTCGTCGTCGCCGCGGTGGACCCGTCGAAGCCGTTGATTTTGGACGTGGACCTCGACTTCTTCAGCACGGAGTCGCCGGGCGCCGTCGACATCCGGAACCGCTTCGGCCTCAAGTACGACGAGCTCGAGACGCTCTACCACCTCGCGTGGAACTTTCCCAAGCTCGACGCGGACTACATGGCGCGGGGCCACCCGACGGACCGCGACGAGATGGACGCGACGGACTACGCGCAGCGCGTGCTCAACAAGGTCGGCGGCTTCGTGGACGTGCAGACGAAGAAGCGGTCGACCTTCGGCGCGGCCTTCGAGCGCGCGCTCGGCGCGCGGAATCTGGAGCCCTGGCGGCTCCGCGCGCTCACGGACTACGCGGCGAAGCTCGACGTCCCCGACGGCGTCGTCGACGAGACGTCGCAGCGCGACCTCGAGTACTTTCTCGAGCAGCCCTTCCACGTGCCGTCGCTGGGCCGCTACGAGAAGGAGCTCGCGTACCTCGCGGACGGCCTGCTCAAGCCGCTCCTCGTCGCGCTGCCGACGCCGAAGCTCGTCTCCATCGTCCGCAGCCCGGGCTACGCGCCGGGCAGCCACCTCCACGACACGGAGTGCCGGGTACTCCAGCTCCTCTCGACGGTCTACAAGACCATCGCCGTCCAGCACGAGGAGCGCGTCGACCCGAGGAAAACGAACTGCGCGCGCATCCCCAAGTACCAGTACGCGCTCGTCCCCGACGAGTGAGGCTGGCACGCCTAATGTTTTACGTCTCGTTTTTGGGCCGCTGGTGCTTGTTCTTGTGCTCCTTGACGACGTGGGCCGGGTCCGCGGGCGGCGCGGGCTCGGGCTCGGGCTCGGGCTCGGGCTCCGGCGGCTTATTCGCCTCCGCGGCGATCGCGAGGAGCTTGTCGAAGTCGAGGCTCCCGTCCTCGGACTGCATGGCGTCGGCCTGCTTCTTCCGCAGGCCGCCGAAGTCGATGCCGTGCTCGTTGCCGAGGTCGTGGCGCTCGCGCGTCATCTCGCCGAGGTTCGACGAGTCGAACGTGTCCGTGCCGAAGAAGACGCCGTCCGCGTCGCGGAGCCGCACGGCGACCTTGGCGCCGGCCTGGGCCCGCTTGAAGCGCGCCTTGGCGCGCTTCGTGCGCTGGCGCTTGACGCCCTCCTCGACGAGGGGGATGGCCGCGTAGTTCATCGCGGCGCGGCACGCGCCGATGCACGTGATCTTCCGCGGCGGGTCGAAGCCCTCGAGCCCGTTCGCCGCCGACTCCCAGTCGATGACGCCGATCTCCTGGGAGTCGAGGAGCCACTGCAGCAGGCCCACGTGGCCCTTGATGCAGGCGCACCAGATGGGGCTCCGGCCGTCGTTCGCGCGCCGGTTCGGGTCCATGTCCGGCTGCGCCATGAGCAGCTGCGCGATCTTCACGTGGCCGATGCGGCAGGCGGCCAGGAACGGCGTCTCGCCGGCGTCGGACGTCTTCATGATGTCGATGGGCTGCGGGTGCGGCCAGCGCAGCAGCAGCTGGACGACGCCGTACTTGCCGTGGTTGCACGCGATGAAGAGCATCGACTGGCCGCAGTACGTGAAGTTCACGTCCGGCTCGTTCTTGTTGAGCACGTACATGAGCTCGTTGTCGTCGCCGTCGTTGTGCTTATCCGCCGCCATGATGCACTTGTAGACCTCGTTCTCGATGGGGCCGAGGCGCTCGACGGCCGGCGGCGTCCAGCGCAGCTTCGGCCCCGCGTCGCGCTTCTCCTTGGCCTTGCGCTTCTCCTCGGCCCATTCCCTCTCCAACCGCTCGAGCCGCTCCTTCGCGCCCTCGTTCTGCGGCACGGCGCGCCCGCTGTCCGGCGTGCCGGGCTTGATGCCGACGAAGGACATGCTGCCCGGCGGCCCAGGCCCGTTAGGAAGCTCAACGTTGACGCCAAGGTTGAAGGAAACCAACATATATACACGATGCATTACCCCCCGATGCGGACCATGTGCCGGTTCTCGCCCGCGTGCTTGGCGAGGTCCTCGGCGCCGCCGTGGCCGCCGTGGCGGAAGTGCTTCTTCTGGAGCGCGGCGTGGACCGCGGCCGCGAGGTCCGCGTCGGACGCGCCGCCCCGGAGCACGTCGCGGAGGCTCACGGAGTCGCTGCCGAAGAGGCACGTCTTCAGGGAGCCGTCGGCGGTGACGCGGACGCGGTTGCAGCCGCCGCAGAAGTGGTCCGTCATCGACGTGATGAAGCCGAGCTTCGCGCCGCCGAGGCGCCACCACCGCGTCGTGTCGTGCGGGTCCGCCGCGTCGGAGTCCCGCTGGTAGAGGCGCTCGCCGGGCGCGAGGGAGCCCCGGAGCGCGCCGAGCATGTCGTCGTAGGCGACGAGCTTGCCCGCGCTCCAGTCGTTCGCCTGGAACGGCATCCACTCGATGAAGCGCACCTCGACGCCCGTGCCGGCCCAGCGCCGCGCGAAGGCCGCGAGCTCGTCGTCGTTCTCGCCGCGCATGACGACGCAGTTGACCTTGGTTTTCAGCGTCGCGTGCGCCGCGCACGCGTCGACGGCGCGCAGCACCCGATCGAGCGTCTTGCCCGGCCGCCGCGTCAGCGCGGCGAACTTGGTCGCGTCCAGGCTGTCGAGGCTCAGGTTCACGCTCGTGAGGCCCGCGTCGACGAGGTTGTCGAGGAGCGCGCCGGCGCCCTCCTTTCGCAGGAGATTGATGCCGTTCGTCGTGACGCCGACGGACTCGACGCCCGGCAGGGCGGCGATGGCGCCGCAGATCTGCGTCAGGTCCCGCCGCAGCGTCGGCTCGCCGCCCGTGAGGCGCACCTTCGTCGCGCCCGCGCGCGCGAAGACCGACGCGACGCGCTCGATCTCGCCCGCGCTCAGGAGCTCGCCGCCGGGCGTCAGGTCCGACACGCCCTCGGCGGGCATGCAGTAGCGGCACCGCAGGTTGCACCGCTCCGTGAGCGACAGCCGCAGGTACGTGTGCCGCCGCCCGAAGCGGTCCACGAGCAGCGCCGGGTCGAGACGCTCGCGCGACAGCGCCGGCCGCGGCTCCGCGGCGGCCGCGGCCGCGGCGCGCGACGTCGCGCGCCCGCTCACAAAGTCGGCGAAGTCCGGGCCGTCGGCCAGCACGCGCCGCGGGAGCGACGACATGGGCCGCGACGCCGCGGCCGCCGCAAAGCGGGCGAAATCCGAGCCGTCGGCCCGGACGCGCCGCGGGAGCGACGACAGCCGGCGCATGGGTTTTCTGCGGCTTGTTAGAGGTCTTTCTGGCCGCCGCACGGCTGCGGAGCGCTGCTGCAGCCCTGCGGCGCCGGCGGTCGGCGCCGCGGAAGCAGCTTGTTGTCGATAGGGCAGTCGAGACGCGAACGGCAACAACCTGACGAAGCCGGCATAGTGCCAACCACAACCGCACGAAGCGCGCTTCTCGCAAGGCGGCGGAAGTGGCCGCGGTGAAATAAAATCTCTCGCAAGCCCGGTTGTGGCCGCGTCCGTCGCCTCCGCCATGGAGGACGACTTCGAGATGGAAGGCGAGGAGGAGACCTGGTCCATCGTCGGCCTCTTGACCTGGCCGCTGCGCACGGTCGTGAAATGGATCATCATGGCCATGATCAAGGCGGCGACGGGCGGCCCAAAAAACAACATTGATAACTACGCGGACAAGCTCGCGAAGGAGAATCTCGCGAAGGAGCGGGAGCTCGAGCGCGAGGAGATCGAAGCGCTGGAGAAGCGGTCCTCGATCTTCCGGGTTCTGGAGCCCGCGCTCTACGTCGCCAAGTTCCTCCTGCTCCGGTACTTGGGCTGCGTCGTCCGGTGCCTGATCTTCGTCCACGTCCAGCTCAAGACGCCGTCCATGACGACGCGCGAGCGCCGGGCCTTCCACTGGCCGCGCCTCGGCCACGCGCTCAACACGTTCCTGAACCTCTTCTGGCCGACGCTGCGGCGCATCGTCTCGGACGCGCTCCGGGACACGGTGCGCGAGACGGTCAACGAGCTGCTCGCCGGCATGGACCACGCGCCCATCAAGTCGCTCGTCACGTTGGAGTGCAACCTGGGCCGGCGGGCGCTCATCGTCGAGAGCGCGACGCTCACGTCGAGCTACAGCGGCTTCGACTTTTTAGACCTCGACCTCGTCGTGTCCTTCGAGGGCGACACCTTCGAGATCGTCTCCGACATCAGCGTCGCCGGCGACGCGGCGACGCCCCAGCTCACGGCGACCATCAAGGGCCTGAGCTTCCACAAGGAGCAGCTGCGCCTGAAGATCGGCCCGCTGAGCACGGGCCTGCCCGGCTTCGGCGCGCTCCAGGTCGCCTTCGCGCGGCCGCCGTCCACCGTCGTCCTCGAGGCTTCCGTGACGGCGCTGGAGTCGCTGCCCTTCCTCGTGAACTTCAGCCTCATCAACCGCTTCCTCGAGACGCACATCGTCCAGCACATCATCGCGGAGAAGTTCGTCTGGCCCAAGGCCATCGTCGTGCCGACCAAGGTCTGGGCGCCGAACGTGGGCCTCATCCCCGAGGAGACCTGGTGGGACGCGACCCAGCTCGGAGCGTACCGCGCCAAGGTCAAGGGCACGCTCAAGGTGGAGGTGCTGGGCGCGCGCGTCGACGACTTCGCGGCCGACGCGACGGGCTGCTACGTCCGCGGCCGCATCGGCTCGTCCGTCGCGCGCGGCGACGTCGTCCTCAACGCCACGGGGCCCAAGCCCGCGCCGGACGAGTCGCCGCGCGCGCTCGCGACGCTCGTCTTTCCGGTGGCGACGGACGTCGAGAGTTTGGATTTGGAGGTCCGCGAGGACGCGATCGGCGAGGACCGCCACATGCGGTTCCACCGCACGGACGCGCTCCTGGGGAGCGCCAAGGTCGACTTCGACGAGATCCCGCCCTACCGCGCCAACGACGTCACGCTCGCGCTCGACACGCCCGAGAACTTCGCGGGCACCGCGAAGCGCGTCATCGAGATCTCGGAGCAGTTCGTCGCGACGGAGGCGTCGGAGCTCATCCTCAAGCCCACGCGGAGCTGCCTCTCCTGCGTCTGGCGGCGCCGCAAGCCCCGCGCGAAGACGCTGAGCAGCCGCGCGGCGTCCGAGGCGCGCCAGAGGGCCATCGGCATCCACAGCCCGTCCTCGTCGCGGAAGACGACGGCCCTCGAGCAGACCGCGGCGCCGGGCGACGGCGCCGCGTCGCCGGCCCGGCCCGGCGAGCGCGAGTCCGAGGCCGAGGCGCCGGGGCCCAACGACCTCCGGCTCCGCCTCGAGTGGACGCCCAAGCTCTCGCGGCGCGACCACCACCAGTACCGCTACGTCGTCCAGGCCGGCTTCGGCCTCGCGCTCGCCGCGAACCTCGCCTTCGGCGTCCAGCTCGAGCACTACTACGTCTTCAATGTGAGCTTCCGCTTCGTCGGCCACGGCATCCTCATGGCCGTCGTCATCTTCCTGACGATGCCCGTCGTCACGTGCTGCGGCATGTACGTCCTCCGGGCCGCGACGCGGCACCACGACGCGCCGACGCCGACCCCCTAAAGCGCGACCCCTCCGGGTGCAGCGTAACTAAACTGTCGTACCGTACTTGTGTCACTGCCGTATTGTACGTCTTACATGCGGAGCCGGGGCACGTTCCGCGGCCGCGGGCCCGGCGCGGGCGCGCGCGAGCCCACGGTCGCCGCGGACGCGACGCTGCTCGCGCGCGACGCGACGGACCGCGCGGAGCCGGGCCGGCGCGGCGGGGCGTAGGAGTAGGTCGACCGGTTCGACGGCGCGCCGAGGATGGCGTGCTCCTCCACGACGAGGTCGCCGAGCCGCATGAGGAGCTGCCGCTTCTCGCGGAGCGCGTCCGAGGGCGCGGCCGCGCGCGGCGGCGCGGACCCGCGGCCGCCGCCGGGCGGCGCGCGCCGCGGCTGGGGCCCGTCGAGCTTCGCGTAGGCCTCGCGGAAGAACTGGAGCTCGAGGTTGTTCGAGCCCATCGTCGTCCGCTCCTTGACCGTCGTCGTGCCCTTGACGAAGTCGAGCGTCCGGCCCGGGCCGGCCTTGCCCGGCGCGCCGGCGTGGCGCGCGAGCGACACGCGCAGCAGGTCCTCGCGCTCCTGGCTCAGGTCCCGGATGCGCTGCGCGTCCTGCCGCCGCTCGACGACGAAGCGCTTCTCCAGGGTGCGCACCTGCGACGGCGTCTTCGCGTTCTTCATCAACCGCTCCCGCCGGTCCTCGGCCTTCTTAGCGTGCGAGATTATCGCCACCATCTCCTTGGCCCGCGCCGCGTCCTCCTTGAGGGCGGCCGGGTCCACGGACGAGGCCTGCATGAGGTCCATCGTGCGAGGGCGCTGGGCAGCCTCGGATACTGGTCGATGTCGCCCCGGCTCGTGCAACAAAAAAGCCGAGGCCGTCGTCGCCGAGCCACTGGTTGATCGCGTCGGCAGCAGCATGTTGCTCCGCGCCGCGGCCCGGGCGGCCCCGAGGCGGCCGTTGGTCCGCACGTTCGCGACGGAGAAGGAGATCGCGATGCGCATCGCCGCGACCAAGGCGAGTCGACGCGCCCGGGGGCCCTCGCCGACGAGAGCGCTCGTACCGCGGCGACGGCGCCGCGCCGCCGCCGCGCGCGCGCCCCGCCGCCCCGCCGCGCCGCGAGACGCGCCCCGCCCGCCCCGCGAGCCCCCCCCGCGACCGCCGCGAAATGACCCGCCCCCCCCGCCGCAGAACATCGTCAAGATCACGTCGTCGATGAAGATGGTCGCCGCCGCGAAGCTCCGCGGCGAGCAGAACCGGCTCGCGGCCGCGACGAAGTTCGGCTCGTGGACGTCCGTGCTCGAGGGGAAGAAGTCGACCTTCGAGGACCTCGAGGACGTGTCCTACTTCCCGGACCACAGCGTCGTCGTCGCGTTGACGTCCGACAAGGGCCTCTGCGGCGGCGTGCACTCCGCGGTCGCGCGCGGCATCCGCGGCCTGACGGCGAAGCTCTCCGCGGAGAACAAGACGATCTCCGTCCTCGCCGTCGGCGAGAAGGGCCGGAGCCAGCTCCGCCGCATGGTCGGCGACAGCCTGTCCATGGCCGTCGTCGACATCCCGCCGCCGTACAACTTCAACTACGCGTCCATGGTCGCGGAGACGGCGCTCGAGCTCGACGCGGACAAGGCCGGCGCCATCCAGGTCGTCTACAACGAGTTCGTCTCCGCCATCGCGTACAACCCGACGATCAAGTCCATCGAGCCTTTCGTCTACGAGGGCGACGACGTCACGCTCACGAACTACGACGCCGAGGACACGGTCCTCAAGGGCCTCTACGAGTACTACGTCGCCACGGAGATCTTCTACGGCATGATGCAGGGCGCCACGTCCGAGCAGTCCTCGCGCATGCAGGCCATGGAGAACGCGACGAAGAACGGCGGCGAGCTCATCGACAAGCTCGTCCTCATCTACAACCGCGCGCGCCAGGCGCGCATCACGACGGAGCTCATCGAGATCATCTCCGGCGCCGCGGCCCTCGAGTAGGCGCGCCCCGGATCGCCGCCGGGGCCCAAACCAAGTCACCGCCCCGCGCGACCGCCCCGCTCTCCTAAGAGACTCCGTGTTCTCGGTGGCGCGGCGGTGTAGAGCGGCGGTGGCGGCGGCGTGTGTGCGCTTTCGTAGGCGCGCGCCGCCCAGACCGCCGGCGCGCAGATCGCCGCCGGGCCCGCGGGTCACGGTGCACCGGTGCCCAGGAGTCTAGATCTGAGAAGAGTCTGAGACTCTGAGCATACTTGTGTTAGAACCGAGAAGGACGGGAGAGCGGGGGAGACGACGCGGGGGCGGTGTCGGACGAGGGGGGCGGCTAGAGGCTCTTGACGGCGCCGGCGAGCTTGGCCGCGGCGGTCGGCGGCGCGGGCTCGGCCGCCGAGGACGCGCCGCCGTGGTCGAGCTTGCCCATCCACTTCTGCATGAGCATCTTGAGGAGCGTCTCGCCGACGAGGGACTCGCGGGACGCGCCGGAGATCTGCTCGGCGTGGTAGTGCGTCGCCGCGTGGAGGAGGAAGAGGCCGAGGAACGCCGTGGTCGAGAAGGAGACGACGCGCGCGGGCGTCCAGCCGGCGACGAAGACGAGGAAGGCGAAGGAGAGCGAGGGGAGGAAGCAGAGCATGGCGTTCATGCGCAGGTGGTCCACGGGGAGGCAGGTCATGGCGTAGGCCGGGTCGCGCGCGTCGTACCGGCCCGTGCGGTGGAACGTCTCGAGCAGCGCGTCCTTGCGCGCGTAGTCGTCGAGGAGCGCGTCGCGGACGACGGCGCCCGGCGCGTCGGCGCTGAGCTTCGCGCCGTCGCTCTTGTGGATGTGGCAGAAGACGTTGAGGCCGCCGGAGAAGACCGTGTGGAGGTCCGGCACGACGCGCTTCGCGTCGGCGAGCGGCCGCGTGCACGCGAAGCCCCCGGACACCGCCGACGTCTTCGGGTCCACGACGACGGGGCCCTCGCCGGCGTCGCCGCGGGCGACGAAGCTCATGGTCACGGAGAAGAGGTTGTCGGGCGCGTGGCTCGCGATGAGCTGCATGCCCTTGTACCGCGGCGTGAGCACGTACCTGAGCGCCGGCCGCCCGAGCTTCCTCAGGAAGGCGCCGCACTGGTCGATGTACTCCGAGTCGCGGGGCACGCCCGGGTCGACGATGGCGCCCTCGGGCGCGAGGAAGAGCACGCGGTCGACGCCCGCGGCGTGGAAGCTCTCGATGTTCCGCGTGATCCGCGGCCCGTCGCGGTGGAACGTCCGCCGGAGGAAGATGTCCCCGAAGAGGCCCCGGGACCAGCCGAAGACGGGCATGAGCATCGTCGTGATCTCCGCGACGAAGCCCACGCGGACGCGCGGCGAGACGACCTGGCCCATGAGCAGCCCGATGATCCAGTCGATGCGGCTCCCGTGGTTCGTCATGAAGACCGACGAGCCCTTGAGCGGCACGGTGGCCAGCAGCTCCGGCTGGCTCGTCCAGACGCGCAGGCCGCACCAGCTGAAGGGCACGGCGAGCTGGCCCCACATCGCGCACGCGTCGTACGCCGTCGACGCGCGCTTGTAGAGCCGGCCGCCGTCGGGCACGAGGAGGAAGAGCAGCAGCGGGAGCTGCCACACGAAGTACTGGAAGGCCACGGCGAGCCAGATGGCGCTCAGGGCGTAGACGCGGCAGGCGAGCACGAAGCCGGCGAGGTGCCGCGGGAACGCGACCCAGGGCAGCCCCATGAAGCCGCCGCGGCCCAGCCAGTCTCGCGGAGGGAGGGCATTTTGCGGCGGGGGCGAGCCGCTCGGCCGTCTCCGGAGCATCGTCGACGACGCCTCGCCTTTGGGATACTCGACCGACCGGTGGGCAGCGTCGAGCGCTGTCGAAAGGCGAGGTGGTTGAGCCAAACTGCTATTGAGATTTGTGAAGTCAGGTTGAATGGTGCTCTTTTTGCGACTGCGAGGCATGCCGATGCGTTCACCCTAGGCAATTGTTGCCGACGATCAATGCGTCGCAACACGAAAAAGTCGGACCTCGAAGAGGGCACCAGCAAGCAGCCGCCGCGCCGGCGGCGACGCGGCGTGCTGCGCGACGTCACGCTCATCGTCACGTCGTTCTGCGCGGCCTTTTTGCTCGCCCGGTCGTCGCGCGCGCCCTGCGCCGTCGCGCCACAAACGCCGCCGCTCCCACTCACGACCCAAAAAGCGCTCGCGAAGGTCTTCACGTTCCACAAGGACGAGGCGTTCCTGCTCGGCGACTGGCTCTACTACCACGCGTCGGTCTTCGGCCCCGAGAACGTCGTCGTCGTCGACCACGCGTCGCAGGACCCGCGCGTGCTCGAGCTCTTGGACGCGTACGCGCGGCGCGGCGTGAGCGTCGTCAAATTCGCGGGCAAGTTCGGCGACAAGGCCGAGGCGCTCTCGGCCGCGATGCGCGCGGCGGCGGCGACGGCCGAGTACCTCGTGCCCATGGACGTCGACGAGTTTGTGGTCCTGGAGCTCGCCGGCGGCGGCATCGCCGCCGACGCCGCGGCGATCCGCGCCGAGTTCGCCGGTCTGCCGCGGGACGAGCCGCGCAAGTTCAAGTTCAGCTCGCGCGTCGCCGCGTGCCCGGACGCGTCGCACGCGACCGCGGCGTCCGCGCGGCGGCCGGCGCTCGTGACGGCCTTCTCGCCCAAGAAGTCGACGGCCATGGCCAAGACCTTCTTCCGCGGCGGCTACGGCTTCCTGTCGACGGACCAGGGCAACCACTTTGGGAAGACGCGCCACGACAACGCGAGCACGGCGGACGACCAGATCGACAACCGCCAGTTCGACCGGTACTTCGTGCGCACGCGCCTGAGCCTGCTCCACTTCTCCATGCCGGACTTCGCGACCTGGCACGCCAAGCTCTTCCAGCGCGCCAAGGCCTACGGCTTCACGATGAAGTCGCCCTGCGCGGGCATCCGCCGCGGCCAGCGCTACTGCCGCTCCTTCCAGCGCCTCCAGGGCGGCGACGCGCCCCTCGCCGTCGCCCAGGCCGAGTACGCCGACGTCTGCGACGCCATCGCCAAGCAGCAGCGCGACACGGGCGGCGCCCACCAGGGCGTGGAGCGCGGCGACTTCGGGAGCCTCGCCGCGCTCCTCGCGGCGAACGTGCCCGCGCCCGTTCGATGACAAACGCACACTAGACGACCTTATGGAGCTTGTCCGGGTCCGCGCACGCGGCGTTGCCGTCGACGACGAGCGGCGGCGCGTCCTCGAAGCCGCCGGACGTGGCCGCGAAGGACAGGTACGTGCTCCAGACGGCGCCCACGCAGGAGCCGACGGCGGGCCGCCACTGCACGGGCACGAACCGGTACGTCGCCAGCGACACGGCCGGCCAGAACGCCGTGCCGACCTTCCAGGCCGGCCAGACCGACGACGCGATCGCGTCGCCGACGTCGCGCCCGCGGATGAACGCGAGCGACCCGAAGGACAGCGACAGGAAGCACGGCGCGATGGTGACGCGCGCGAGTACTTTCGTAAATACGGTCCTCGCGGCCGTGCCGGGCAGCTGCCTCTCGATGAAGGCTTCGAAGAGGTGCGACGTCGGACCTGATTCGACGCGATGATTTTTAAAACGAAACGCGAGGACGCCGCGACGGACCCATGACGCACAGCCCGACGGCCGAAAACTCCGCGGTTCTCCGCGCGTTCCATCTCCAGTCCGCCGTCGGCGCCGTCAAGGCCTGGGCGGCGACGTCGCCCACGGCGAAGCTGGTCGTGACAATGCTCAAGGAGCGGGCCCACGCGACGGGCGTCATCATGGCTGCTGCTGCGGCCATTGTTGATGGGGCGATGGGGCGCGACGACGCAGTAGCCCGTCACAGCGCGTCGTCGCGGTCGGCAAGTGCTAGTGACGCGCTCCAAGCGCACCGATTGATTGCCACGGCAAGTGGTCTGCTCCGTGGGTTCAACGTGCCGCGCCAAAGGTGATCGGCGCGCAAAAGCGGCGCGCCGTCTGGTCCCGACCCGCAGCGCTCGCATCGGAACGTCTCGCAGCTCGCATGCTGTCGTCTGCGCGCCAGGGGCGCCGGCCGCAGAGCTTCGAGGAGCGCCGGCGGTCTGCGCAGCAGCGGTGCTGCACGGCGCGGCGCTGCGTGCGCTACACGATTTTGGCCATCGTTCTCGTCGGCGCCGTATGGCTTTTCACGGGCGGGCGCGGCGACGAGGGGCGCGACCCGGACGCCGTGCGCGAGACGCGGCGGCGCGGCGCGACGCTCCGCGAGCGCGAGGCGCGGCACGAGACGCCCGACGCGCCCGACGGCGCCAAGCTCGAAGCGTGGATCGCGGAGATGACCGACGCGGAGGAGCGCGCGAGCGCGGCGGCGCGACGCAAGCTCGCGGAGGGCGGCGGCGACGGGGCGCCGCCCGGCGCCGCCGCGCCCGAGCGACCCGACGCGAAACCGCGATAGCAGTAAGCTCGCCGTTGTTTTGTTTCTCCACTTTGATTTCCTGTCGTTTCTCTAGTTGCTGCTGGTTCGGAGTCTCGAGCTTGTAAGCAGAGCAGGTCTTTTGCGCCGCGGCGCGAACCAGAAGGTGATGGGCACTTCTGCAGACTCCAAGGTGCGTGAAAGTCGGACAGAGCGCGCCTTCGCGAAGCGAAGGGCGTCCTCTACTTCGTCGCTTCGGGAGAGGGTGAACGGCCTACGTTGACGTGTCGTTGACTTCTTCAAGCAGGCTTCAAGCAGCACGAGGCGATCGCGCCACGCGACGAGCAGCACCACCCTGGAGCGCCGACGAGTGCTGCTGCGCCACGCGACGAGCAGCCACCACCAGCGCCGACGCAGTGCTGCTGCTGCAAGACGCAGCAACCGACGACATGATGCGCCGCAGCTGCATCGCACTACTACTATCCACACGCATCAGAGCGTTCGCAACACCGAAACGACGCCTAACAACACCCACTCGCCTCAGCTACCAGCTCGCCGACAAGGAGAAGTACCTCGCCGAGAAGGAATTCGACCCCGTGTCGCTGCGGCAGTGGCGGCGCGAGACATTGATACGTTATTCGAACGCGAACCAAAGTGAGCCGCTGCGGATCCTGCTGACGTTCCTGCTCGGGCTTTCGTTGATCGGCGCGCCGGCGCTCGCGGACGCCATCGGCGCTCCGGCGCCGGAGCCGCTGCCGGCCTACGTCGCCGCGGGCTTGGGCTCCTGGGCGCTCTTCGCGCGCGAGCGCGGGTCGCGGACGAAGCGCCTCGCGAAGATCGAGCGCGAGTGCGACGTCGCGGAGCTCGAGGTCGCGATCCGACCCGCGGCGGCGGCCGTCTTCCCCGGGCTCTCGTCGCGCGCGTCGCTCCGGAGCCTGCGCAACTCGGCGCGCGTCGTCGGCGCGCTCTGCCCGGACGCGGCGAGCCTCGCGGCCGTGAACCGGGACGCCAAGGGCCTCCGGCGGCGCCTCGCGGCGAGCCGGTGCGTCGTCGCGGCCGTCGGCGGCGACGGCTCCGTCGACGCGACGGCGTCGTGCGCGCCGGGCAAGCCGTCGGACTGGACCGCGGCCTTCAAGGGCCTGCTGACGACGGACGACGCCTGGGGCGACTTCGACTTCGAGTCGAAGACCGCGGCGTACTTCGCGCTCTCGTTCAAGGGCCGGAGCGTCGGCAGCGGCCTCGGCGCGCCGGACCTCGTGGAGCTGTTGGGGTCGCTCTACCCGCCGCGCGACATCGTCGCGCCGACGCCGCCGCTCGCCGGGGGCACGCCGCTCCTCGACGCGCAGCGGCGCTTCTACGGCGCGCTGCGGTCCGGCGACCTCGACGCCATGCGGGGCCTCTTCTCGGACGCCGAGGCCGCGGCGGTGACGGCCGGGCTCGACGCCGGCGCGCGCGTCGACCCCTGGGAGAGCCAGCTCCGCGACGACGCGAGGCCCAAGGATTTGGAGGTCGGCGACGCGGACGAGACGACGCACGACGACGGCTCGGCGACGACGACGGCCATCGAGGCCACGGGCAACGGCCAGACGCTCCTCGCGGTCCAGCGCTGGGTCGACGTGGGCGGCGATTGGAAGCTCGTCTCCCACTCGACCATTCCCTTCGCGACGAACACGCAGGCCGGCGCGGTCCTCAAGTGCGACTGCCGGGGCTGCATCGCGCTCGTCCGCGGCCAGCAGGCCCAGCTCCGCGAGTGAGCGCGCCTAAGTCGTCCCGAAAGCGCCGCGGGTCTAGTCGAGGTTAGAAACCGGACGCGCGCCTCATCGGCGCCTCTAGACCCAGGTCGCGTTGAGGCCGCTGTGGACGATGCGCTTGTAGGCCTCGTCGAGGGTCTTGTCCTCCTTGCAGAAGCAGAAGCGGGCGAGGGAGTCGGTGATGTGGCGGTGGCCGAGGGAGAAGAAGGCGGACGCGGGGATGGCCGTGACGCCCGCGCGCTCGCAGAGGAGGCGGCAGACGGCGAAGTCGCGGCGGTCGCGGAGGGGCATGTCCTCGGGCGCCTCCCAGAGCGGGAACTCGGTCGTGACGCCGCCGACCTTCGTCGTGTCCGCGAGGAGGAAGTAGCCGCCCTGGGGCACGATGGGGCTCAGGCCCGCCGTGCGGAGCAGGCGGCAGAGCTTGTCGCGCTTCGCCTGGAGCGTGGCGGAGAACTCGGCGAAGTAGCCCTCCTGCGCGCCGCGCTCAAAGGCGATGGCCGTCGCGATCTGGAGCGGCGTCGGCGTCGAGAAGTTGGACGCCTGGTGCACGCGGACGAGGGGCGAGATGAGCTCCTCGGGGCCGATGGCGTGGCCGACGCGCCAGCCCGTCGCCGAGAAGGCCTTGCCCGCGGAGAAGACGGAGATCGTCCGCTCGAACATGCCCGGGAGGCTCGCGATGTGCACGTGCTCGAGGCCGTCGAAGACCATGTCCTCGTAGACCTCGTCCGTGAGCACGATGAGCTTCGGGTACTTCTTGACGACCGTCGCGATGCCCTCGAGCTCGCTCTTGCTAAAGACCTTGCCCGTGGGGTTGTGCGGCGTGTTGAGCACGAGGAGCTTCGTCCGGTCCGTGAGCGCGCCGTCGAGCTCGTCGAGGTCGAGGCGCCAGTCGGCGGACGTCTCGGCCCAGTCCGTGCGCAGCGGCACGCCGATGGTCGTCGCGCCCATCAAATCCGCGGCGATCTTCGGCGCGTCGAAGTAGGGCTCGACGCAGACGACCTCGTCGTCGGGGTCGACGAGCGCGACGAGCGCCGAGAAGATGGCGTTCGTCGCGCCGCCGACGACCCCAATCTCCGTGAAGGGGTCGATGTCGCGGTCGAACTTGGGCGAGTAGCGCCGCGCGAGCACGTCGACGAGCCGGTGGTGGCCCGCGGGCCGCGAGTACTGGTTGTAGTCCTCGCGGATCGCCTCGATGGCCGCCTCCTTGACGAACGCCGGCATGGGGAAGTCCGGGAACCCCTGGCCCAGGTTCACGGAGTGGTGCTTCTCGCTCAGCTCGCTGAACTCGGCGAAGACGCTCGGCTCCGTGCGGCCCATGCGCACCGACGCCAGGGGCGACATGACGGAGGACTGCGGGCGCTCCGCGAGGGTCGGGTCGGCCTCGAAGATGCTCTGGGACGACGCGGCGCGGCGCGCGGCGGCCGCGGCGCGGCGCGCCGTGACCGCGGCGCCGCACGGTGCGCGCGCTGCTGTGCGGAGAGCAGCCGCCATCGGACAGAGTTCACGGACAGAGTTCACCCTCGATTCTCCACTCGCCGTGCGGTGCAAGCCTTGGTGCAAGGTTGCCCGGCGGCGGGGCGTACGCGTTGCAAATGTGCCGCGACGCGAGCCTCGCCAGCGCTGCGGGGAGGAGGTGGAAGTGGAGATGGTAGCGCGCGCGCCCGTCGCCCCGTTCCAAAAGCACACACACCACCTCAACTTACAGCGACCACGTCCGGGTAGTTGAAGTGCCCGCACCCGCCGCCCGCCAGGGGCCGGCCGCAGGGCTGGAGCGCGCCGTCGACCCGCACGCCGAGCCGGGGCGCGCGACGGTCGGCCGCGAGCGACGCGTTGTGCGCCGCGACGGCGCCCAGAATCGCGTCGACGACGGCACCCAGAATCGCGTCGTCGGCCCAGGCGAGCGCGTACCGCTCGGCCGGGTCCGAGGGCACGTGGAAGAGGAGCGGCGCCGGCAGCCAGTCGACGCCGTCGTCGCAGCTCCAGCCCTCGAAGACGTCGCCGCGAGGGACGCCGGCGTCGCACCGGTCCGCGTACCACGTCTCCGGCGGCAGGGCCTCGAGCCAGAACTTGAGCTTGTAGTCGCCGCGGCGCGCGGCCACCAACTTGCCCGAGCAGTAGTGGAAGAGGCTGCGGTTCGCCGCGGGCGCGGCGCCGCGAAGCAGGGGTACCAGCGACTCGCCGTCGAGCGCGTTCGGGGGCGAGATGCCCGCGAGGTCGAGCGCGGTCGCGAAGACGTCCATGGTCGACACGAGCGCGGCCGAGACGCCCGGCCGGACGGTCCCGGGCCACGACACGATGCCCGGCACGCGCACGCCGCCCTCCCAGCCCGAGAGGCCTTGCCGCCGCGGAGCGGGCCCGCGAGGCCGCCCTCGAGGCAGAGCTCCACGTGCGGGCCGTGGTCCGACGTGAAGATCACGAGCGTCTCGCGCCGCACGGGCTCGAGCGCCTCGACGACCGCGCCGACGGCCCAGTCCATCTCCCGGAGCGTCGCGCCGTAGCGCCCGTTGCGGCTCGATCCCGCCCACCGCGCGTCGTTGAAGAGCGACACGTGGCACTGCGGCAGCGCGAAGTAGAGGAAGAACGGCGCGGCGCCGCCTTCTTCGACGAAGCCCACGGCGTCCGCGACCATGGCGTTCGTGAGGTTCGAGTGGTCGATGGGCTGCTGCGCGAGCGCGGCGCCGCGGTAGAGGAAGCACTTCGAGGCGTCGGGCGCCGCGACGTTCGCGCCGCTCTCGTCGCAGGCCCAGTGGTTGCTGAACGGGATCGACAGGCCGGCGAAGCCGAAGCCGCGCGCCGTCGGGAGGTGCGCGCCGTCCGTCCGATCGCGCGCGTTGATGCCGAGGTGCCACTTGCCGACGAACCCCGTGCGCCAGCCCACCAGCGCCTCGCTCAGGAGCACCTCCTCGGCCGGCACGCCCGCCGCGTCGTCCGGCGCGAGCACGCGGTCGCCCGCGCCCGGCGGCGGGATCATGCCGGTACGCGCCGGGAGGCGGCCCGTGAGCGCCGCGGCGCGCGACGGCGTGCAGACGGACTCGGCCGCGTACCACTGGCGGAAGCGCAGCCCGCCGGCCGCTAGTTTATCGATGTGTCCGACCTCCTGCGTCGGATGCCCGTAGCTCGCAAGGTCGCCCCAGCCCATGTCGTCGGCCATCAGCAGGACGATGTTCGGCGGCGCCGGGCTGCCCGCGGCGAGGGAGAGTGCGAGGGTTAGCACCCTATGGCCGCAGCGCGCGCGGACCATCGTAGTTGAATATTCAATTTGAAGAACAAATGCGACATGTACAATGCTGCCAGCTCAATTCGGGGTGGTTCGTCGTTGCCGAGCTGCCGCCCGCAAAACACACACGCACACCACCGTTACCCCTCGCTCTCCGGCGGCGGCGGCGCGTCGAGGCACGCGACGAGGTGGCTCGCGGTCTCCGCGGCGTGCGTGAGCGGCGCGAGGTGCCCGCCGGCGGGCAGCGCGCTCGTCCGGAAGCCCATGGGCCGGAGGACGGCGTCGAGGGCCCGGAGGCACCCGCGCGAGCCGCGGCCGGGCTCCGGCGAGAGGACGAGGTGCTTCGCGCCCTCGGCGGCGAGCGCGCCGAGGTCCCGCGCGGCGCCCCGGCCGCGGGCGGCGTAGACGGAGTGGATCTCGTGGGCCGTGTGGGGCACCGTCGTGCCCACGAGGCGGTCGCGCGCGTCCGCGGGCAGGTCGTCGAAGGCCTCGTCGCCCTGCCGGAGCCAGAAGTCGTGGAAGAGCGGGCCCCAGTTCCGGAACCTCGTCATCGACGACGCGAGCATGGACTCGCAGAACGCGGCGCAGTCTTTGACGCCGGCGCGCCGCAGGTCCTCGAGCGCGGCGTCGCCGGCGATCGGCGGCGCGGCCTCGAGGAGGAAGAAGTGGTTCGGCTCGACGACGACGACGGACGCGACGCCGCGCGTCGCCGCGAAGCGCAGCGCCACGCCGCCGCCGTGGGAGTGGCCGACGACGTGGGGCGCCTCGTCAGAGACGCCCGCGTCCGCGAGCGCCGCGGCGACGAGCGCCGCGCTGTCGTCGAGCGTCTGCGGCCGCGCCGTCGCGGGCCACGGCGTCGTCGCGCCGTAGCCGAAGAGGTTCGGCGCGACGATCTGCGACGCGACGTGCGGCGTCGCGGCGAGCGCCTCGGCGAGCGCGTCCCACTGCCTGTACGAGCTGCCGCTGCAATGGATGGCGACGAGCGGCGGCGCCTGGGGGTTCGCGTTCGCGATGGGGTGCGTCGCGTATTCGACCGTGAAACCGGGCGCGCTCGGCAGCGCGACGCGGGTCTTCGCGACGCGCCAGCTGCTCAGCCAGCGGCGTGACCAGCGGTGGCTGCGCGGGCGGAGGAGGCACTGCATCACGGGTTGTGGCAAGAACTTGTTTTCAGCGAGCGTTTTACTTGAAGGCTGCTTGCACCCTTGCACGCGAGCCAGCAGTCGAGATGTTCAGCGTCTCGCGGCGCGTTGCGCGCGCGACGGCCTTCATCCTCTTGCAGAACCGCGCCTTGGCCATCACGCGCCTGGGCACCAAGGACCCGCGCATGAGTCAAATTGTGATGCACGGCGACACCGTCTATCTCTCCGGCCAAGTTCCTGCGGACTTTGAGGCGCCGCTCGCGGACCAGGTCAGCTCGACGCTGGCCAAGGTCGACGCGCTGCTCGACGAAGCCGGCACGGACAAGTCGAAGCGCGCGGCCGCGTCGAGAGCGCGCGTCGCGCCGCCGCGCCTCGACCGCCTCGACGCCGCGCCGCAGGTTGCTGTCGGCGACCATCTACGTGAAATCCATGGATCACTTCGCAGAAATGAACGGGATCTGGAACGACTGGATCGACTCCGAGAACAAGCCCGCGCGCGCGTGCGTCGAGGCCCCGATGGCGCGGCCCGGGATCCTCTTCGAGGTCGTATGCGTCGCGGCCAAATAAGCGCGTCATGAAACACCCTCGGGAGGCGAGGCCCAGACACCACGGTTAGGCGCCCTCCCTTAGATGCCGTTGGCCGCGGTGTGCTGGATGGACGCCCAGATCTTCGCGGGGATCGGGAGCTCGTCCGCGGCGACGCGGGCCGCGGCCGTCTTCGCGGAGCTCTCGCCCGGGATGCGGACGCCGGGCCCGGAGGCCTTGACGGCGGCGCAGATCGAGGACGCCTTGGCGTCGAAGTCGTCGACGAGCGCGTCGGGCCGGATCGCGACGAACGCGTGCCCCCAGTTCCTGGCCTCCTTCTTCGGCGGGCCCATGCCGAGGACGGCGCCGCCGGAGAGCGCGCCCGCGAGGAGCTCGACGCAGAGCGCGAGGCCCGCGCCCTTGTGCCCCCCGAACGTCGCGATGGCGCCCGCGCCGCCGAGCGCCTCCTCGGCGTCCGTCGTCTCCGCGCCGTCCGCGCCGTAGGCGACGCCCGGCGGCAGGGGCGCGCCCTGGGCCTTGGCCGTGAGCACGCCGAAGAGCGCGATGGCCGACGTCGCCATGTCGAAGACGAAGGGCGCCTCGCCCGCGCGCGGCACGCCGACGGCGAGCGGGTTCGTGCCGAAGACGGCGTCGCCGCCGGCGGCCGCGGCGACGAACTCGGGCGAGTTCGCGAGGGCGACGCATATCATGCCCCGCCGGGCCACGCGCTCGACGTAGTACGCGAGCTGGCCCGACGACGTCGACGTGTTGTACGCGGAAACGATCGCGACGCCCGCGGCCTCGGCCTTGTCGGCCGCGAGGTCCGCGGCCGTGACCTACGGGGTCTCGTCGGTGCGCGCCGCGCGTGAAAACGCCGGTGTCGGACCGCGGCGAGCATGCCCGGCGCCTGGTTGGCGTTGACGACGGCGGTCGCCGGCGCGTCGCGCTCGACCGTCGGCTTGCCCGCGCCGGGCGCGGGCGCCATGAGCTGCGGCTGGAACATCTTCACGAGGCCCTGGTTGTTGCCGCAGAGCTCGGCCGACGTCATGATTGCGGCTTGTAGGCTAGCGTCTTCCTCGTCCCAGCCGATCATCCGCAGCGCCTGCTTCGTCGTCTGCTCCGCCTCGGCGACGCCGACGATGACCGTGTCGCTGCTCGACAGCGCGCGCCGCGGCGCGACGTTGACCGTGCGGCGCGCGAGCATCGACGAGAGGCGGAGCATCGTGATTGTACGACGAACGCCCTACTCGCTGTGGTAGAACTCAGAAACGCGCTATCCACCAACCTCTGAACCGTTGTCCACAACTGTGGACTCGAGTACTCGCGCCCGGGATGATCCCTGGTGACAATCCGGAATGCGGCTGCCCGCCGATCCAACCCGCTTTTGCTTGATGCAGGGGTTTATAGCCAGTCTGAAATCGCTACTTAGCACGAGCGACCATATCATTCGGAGAGCACCGCTTCCCGTCAGCTCAGCGAAGTTAAGCCGGATCGAGCTTGGTTAGTACTACGGTGGGTGACCACGTTGGAATCCCGAGTGTTGCTCGTTTTTTTTGCCCTCTTGGCCCTTGTCTGCGTTTTTTTTGGCACGTTTCATGGCAGAAGCACACACACCATATTACTACACGAGGGACGCGAGGGGGTTGTCGGCGACGATCTCCGGCGACCGCGGCCTCGCGCGCGCGTTGTCCTCGAGGTCGAACGCGTCGTCGGCGCCGAGGACCGCCTCGCGGCTCGCGTCGCGGCGCGGCGGCACGCGGCCCGTGTGCTGGCGGCCGCGGCCCTCGTCGAGCGCGTTCCAGTCGGCGTCGGCCGTCGCGCGCCGCGCGTCGCGGCTGATGGCGCCGAGCGCGCCCTCGGCGCCGAGGCTCTCGCCGCAGAGGTCGAGGAAGCGGAGCCGGGGCGCGGCGAAGAGCCGCTCGAGCGTCCGCGCCGTCGCGTCGTCCGCGCGGTCCACGGGGCCGACGCGGAGCCCCGTGAGCGAGCCGCCGCGGACGACGCCGTCGGCGACGGCGGCGAGCGCGGCGCCGTCGGCGTCGACGTCGCAGGCGTCGAGCTCGACGATTTTGCCGAGCGCGGCCGCGAGGCCAACGACGCCGTCGCGGCCGAGCCTGCGAGCGGTTCCCGGTCGCGCTCGCGTTTCCCGGTCGCGCTCGCGTTTCCCGGTCGCGCTCGCGTTTCCCGGTCGCGCTCGCGTTTCCCGGTCGCGCTCGCTTTTCCCGGTCGCGCTCGCGTTTCCCGGTCGCGCGCGCCCGCGCGATCGAAAGAGGACGCCGCGCGGCGCGGGTTCCCGTCCACCACGAGCCGCCGCGTCGGCGGGAGCCGCCGGCCGAGGACGGCGCCGCCCGCGGCGTCGAGGCCGCAGGCGTCGAGGCCGAGGCGGTCGAGCGCGGCGAGGGGCGCGAGCGCCGCGTCGAGGACCTTGGGCCGGAGGCGCGCGGCGCCGCCGAGGTCGAGCGCGGGCGCGGCCGCGGCGCGCGGCGAGGCGAGGAGCCGGCCGACGGCCGCGGCGCCGTCCGCGCCGAGGTCCGGCGTGTCGCGGAGCCGGAGCTCGCGGAGCCGCGCGGCCGCGGGCGCCGCCGCGAGCGCGTCGCAGGCGGCCGCGAGGCCCGGGCCTTTGAGCCGGTTGCCGGAGAGGTCCAGCGACGCGAGGCGCGCCTGGGCCGCGAGGGCCTCGGCGAGGCTCGCGAGGCCCGCGTCGCGGAGGCCGTTGCGCGACAGGTCGAGGTCCGCGAGCGTGCCGCGGTCGCGATCGAGCAGCGCCGCCGCGAGGCGCGCGGCGCCCTTGGGGCCGACGTCGCCGGAGAGCCGCAGGGACCGCAGCGGCAGGTCCCGCGGCGCGCGGAGGAGGCCGCGCGCGAGCGCCGTCGCGCCCGACGGGCCGACGCGGCAGTCGACGCGGAGCGCGCGCCAGTAGCCGCCGTTGCCGTAGTAGTCCGTCGGCTGCGCGTCGCGCGCCTCGGCGACGGCCGACGCGCGCCGCCGGTCCGTGTAACGGTCGACGGCGTCCTCGACGCGCGCGCGCGCGGCCTTGGCGAAGTCGTCGGCCTGGGCCCGGAGCGACCGCCGGGGCTTGGCGTCCGCGCCGTCGTCGGCGTCGTCCTCGTTGAAGAAGACGTTGTTCCAGGCCTCCTCGCGGCGGCCGTACTTGACGTCGTCCGCGCGGCGCCGCGACGCCGCGAGCGCGTCCGCCAGGGGCTCGTAGAGGTCCTGGCGGAACTTCTCGAGCCAGGGCGCGCGGTGCACGACCGTCTCCGCGGCCGCGCGGCACGTCCGCGCGATCTCCGCGCCGTAGACCGCGCCCTCGGCGTTCGCCGTCGCCCCGGCGACGAACTCCGCCTCCGGCAGGCCGAGCGGGAACGCGAAGCGGAACGCCGGCAGGTCCGGCGTCGCGCGCGCGAGGGCGAGCTGCTGCAGCGCCGCGACGGACCGCGCGTCGCGCCGGTCCACGCCGAGCGCGAGCGCCTCGAGGGCCGGGTGCGCCGCGAGGGCCCGCGCGACGTGCTCGACGCCGAGGTCCTCGCCGACGGGGATGCGGCCCATGGCCGCGACGGCCTCGCGGTCGAAGGACGCGCCGAGGTCGAGGCGGGTGAGAGCCCTGTTCCCCGCGAGGCCGCCGGCGAGCGCGACCGCCGCGTCGATGACGTCCGCGGCGGTCAGCGCGCCGCCGGGCCGGCACTCGCGCTGGATGAGGCTCCCCGCGGCGGGATCGGCGAGCGCGTCCCGCAGCGCGAGCGACCGGAGCCGCGTGGACGTCTCGAGTAACGCCGCGATCGCGCGCCAGCCGGCGCGATTGAAGTAGTTGTGGCTCAGGTCCAGCGCGACGAGCGAGCGGCCCGCCCCGCAGAGGGCCTCGACGCCGGCGTCGCCGAGGAAGCAGCGCTGCGCGTCGAGCCGCGCGAGGCACGGGTGTTTCCGCAGGGCCGCCGCGAGCGCCGCGGCGCCGCGCGCGCCGACGTGGTGCCCGGAGACGCGCAGGGCCGTGAGCGACGCCAGCGCCTTCGGCAGCACGTCCGCGAGCGCGAGGCAGCCCCGGAAGCCGACGCAGCCGCCCTCGGCGAAGCTGCTGCCGCCCGACAGGTCGAGGTCCGTCAGGCTCGCGACGCGCTCGGGCCGCGCGCGCGCCGCGTCCGCGAGGCCCACGGCGACGCGGTCGCTCACGCAGCCCTCGCTGAGGTCGAGCCGCGTCAGCGATCGGCCCGCGGCGCCGAGGAGCACCGCGTCCGCCGCCCACGCCTCGACGGCCCTCCGGTCCAGGCGCGCCGCCGGGTCCTCGTCGTCGCCCGCGGCCTCGGCCTCGTCCGCCGCGAGCGGGCTCGCCGCGCCCGCCGCGACCTCGCTCGCACCGCGATGGTGGTAGGTCCCGCCCGACGACGCGTGGAGGTCGCAGCGACGAAACGAGATGCTCTGCAGCTTCGGCTGGCGGCATTTCGCCGGCTCCTTCTCCGGGCTGGACAGCGCCGCCTCCCGCGACGACGCGCCGGCGCCCATCTGCTATCGTGGAGGTCGAGGCTGCCCACACCTATTGCCCACACATGCTTCGGGAGACCTGTTTAGGCTGCCCACACCTATTGCCCACACATGCTTCGGGACTGCAACTTTGGCTCCTTGAGGAGGTGTTGAGGCTTGGCACACGAGCTGTGGCTGCCAGCTCGACGAGTTGTCCGCGCGCAAGCTCGGCGTCGGCCAGCCCTCGAGCGAAGTCGTCGGCGTCGGCCAGCCCTCGAGCGAAGTCGTCGGCGTCGGCCAGCCCTCGAGCGAACGCGTCTTCGCTCCACGCCAAAACAATGCGCCGCCGCGGCCTCGCCATCGCGACCTGCGCGCTCGCGCGCGGCGCGTCGCCGGCGGTGCGGACCGCGTCGACGGCGGCGCCGAAGCTGCCGAGCCGGGACCTGCAGGGCGTCGCGTCGATGCTGCGCGAGGGCGCGCAGTGCGTCGTCATGCTCGGCGCGGGCGCGAGCGTGGCCGCGGGGCTGCCGGACTTCCGCACGCCCGGCACGGGCCTCTACGACAGCCTCGAGGGCTACGGCCTGCCGTACCCCGAGGCGGTCTTCGAGCTCGACTTCTTCAAGGAGAACCCGGCGCCGTTCTACAAGCTCGCGCGGGCGCTCTGGCCGGGCCGCGAGTCGCGGCCGACGCTCGCGCACGACTTCGTCAGGCTCCTCGCCGACCGGGGCCAGCTCATCCGCTGCTACACGCAGAACATCGACTCGCTCGAGCGCGAAGCGGGCGTGCCCGCGGACCGCGTCGTCGCCGCGCACGGCAACTTCGACACGGCGACGTGCGTGGACACGGGCCTCGAGGTCGACGTCTCCGAGTTCGAGGCCGCGCTCTTCGGCGACGACATGGCCGCGTTCAACGAGAAGCACGGCGGCCTCTGCAAGTCGGACATCGTCTTCTTCGGCGAGGCGCTGCCGGGCCGCTTCTTCGAGACGCTGAAGCCGGACTTCGACGCCGCGGAGCTGCTGCTCGTCGTCGGCACGAGCCTCGAGGTCCACCCGTTCGCGTCGCTCGTCGACCTCGGCGCGATGCCGCGCGCGCTCATCAACCGGGAGAAGGTCGGCGAGATGCTCCCGAGCCGCCTCTCGCGCGGCGGCGACTACGGCTTCGACTTTTCCGAGAACGCGACCGTGCCCCGGGACGTGTTCCTCCAGGGCGACGCCGACGACACCGTCGCCGCGCTCATGGACGCGGCGGGCTGGGAGTTCCCCGATAAGTAGACGCCCGGCTTGAGTCCCCCTGGGTGCGTACTCACAACTTCATTCACATGTTCAAGGTTTAAAGATGCACCGTCGGCAGCCCAAGTTTCCCCAAGTGGGCTCGGGACGCTGGTGCCGCTTTCGGGCTTTAAGAAGCACGCCTTCCTCGTCGTCGCCGCGCCGGCCAAGTAGGAGGCTTTAGAGCCCGCCCCGAGCCAAGATGCCGGAGCCCAGGAATCACATGAACCGGTGCGTTGGATCGCGAGTCGAGCTCGCCCTCGTGCTCGCGCCGTCCACGCGCACAACACGCCGATCGACGCGACCATGCTAGGTACTACGTGCCTCCGGGGCACATGCCGCCGCCGGGCGCCATCGACTTCTGGCGCATGTGCCAGCCGACGCAGCCCGAGGAGCACAAGATGCGCGTCTTCGACACGTACAAGAAGGACAAGGAGGACGTGCCGATCCACGCGTTCATCACGGCCGCGGAGAAGAGCGCGTCGGCCCGCGCCGCGAGACCGCGCGCGCTCCTCGACCCCCCTCCCCCCCGCGCAGACGACCTCGTCACGATGAAGGAGATGTTCGAGGCGGGCAAGATCAAGGACATCAACGAGCAGCCCTACGGGACCGTGACGACGCGATGGTCCGCGCTCCACTTCGCCGCGTACAACGGCGCCGAGGAGACGGTCAAGTGGCTCGTCGCGAACGGCGCGGACCCCTTCCTCAACTGCCGCGACCACGCGAAGCCCATCGAGACGGCCATGACCCAGGGCCACTACCACATCCAGAAGTGGCTCTGGCAGGAGATGCGGAAGATCAAGCACGCGGGGCCCAAGCCCGAGCTCGGCGCGTGGGGCGGCGCGGGCCAGATCCCGCCGGACCCGGAGGAGGGCGATGCGGACAACGAGTAGGCGCCCCGCGCGTAAGCTCGCGCGCGGCCTCTCACTGCGCAGCTGTGCACGTGCACACGTGTGGCCAGATCTCCAGGGGTTAGCTCAGTACGCCTGCTTGGGGCGGAGGGCGAGGACGGCGGCGTCCGTCGTGAAGGAGAAGGACTTGGAGGGGAGGGGCGTGAAGGCGCGCGCGGCGGAGTTGAACTTGAGGAACTTCATGACGTGCTCCTCGCCGAAGCGCGCGGGCCCGCGGCCGTAGATCTTCTCCGCGTCGACGAAGGGCCCGCCGCTCGTGCCCGCGGCGCGGCCCCGGCGGAGCGCGTAGAGGCCCCGGAACGTGTGGACGGCGTCGTCTTTCAGCACGACGAGGTGGTTGTCCGCGTGCGACCGGTCGAGCGCCTCGAGCGCGAGGTTGAGCTGGTTCGCGCAGTGGGGCCCCGCGAGGCAGATCTGCGTGAGCGCGTTCGTGAGCGCGCGGCGGTTCGAGAGGCGCTTCGCGGCGGGCGGCGGCGCGTCGCGGCGCCGCGGCGCCGGCGCGTTGTCGTCGTCGTCGGCGAACGCGCCCGCGCGGAGCGCCGCGGCGTGCTCCTTCTCGAGGCGGCGCCGCTCGTCCATGGCCCGCGCCTTCTTCGCGCGCTCGCGCTGGAACCGCTCCATGCGCGCGAGCCGCTCGCGGGCCTTCCGCGCGTCCTCCTCCGCGTCCGCGGCCGCCTCGGGGAACGGGTCCGACGCGTCGTCCGCGGGCGCGGACGCGGGCGACGCCGTCGAGCTCGCCGCGCGCCGCGGCGGCGTGCCCGCGCCGGGCCGCCGCGGCGCGGGCAGCCGCTCGCCCCGGCGGTACTCGCGCTCGAGGGGCGCGGCGCCGCCGGAGACGACGTCGAAGGTCGCGGCCCAGCCGGCGGGCGGCACGCGGTCCCGCGCGAGCGACGCCGGCGCGGGCGGCTCCGCGGCCGGCGCCGCGGGCGGCGCCGCGGGCATCGCCGCGGGCATCGCCGCGCTCGCCGCGGGCGCCGCGGGCGCGCGCGCGGCGGCGGCGTGGCGCGCGACGTAGTCGAGGACGGCGGTCCGCACGGTCTCGTCGTTCGCCGCCGCCGCGAGGAGCGCGCGCTGCGCGTCGTCGGCGCCGCGCGACGGCGGCGCCGCGGCCGGCCGGCCCGGCTCGTCGAGCGCCGCGGAGAGCACCGCGCCGAGGTCCGGGATGGACCGCGCCGCCGCCTCCGGCGCGGGCGCCTCCGCCGCGAGCGAGGCCCGCTCCGGCTCCGCCGCGAAGGAGGTCCGGCCCGGCTCGTCGAGCGCCGCGGAGAGGACCGCGCCGAGGTCCGGGACCGACGGGGCCGCCGCGGACGCCTCCGCCGCGAAGGAGGTCCGCTCCGGCGGCGCGAAGGAGGTCCGCTCCGGCGGCGCCGCGGACTGGAGCAGGACCTCGTCCGCGTCGCCGAGCGCGTCCGTCCGGTCGAGCGCGACGCCGTCGTCGCCGCCGCGCTCCGCGCGGAAGGGCGTCGCGACGTCGAGGCGGTCCTCGTCGTAGCGCATGGCCTCCGCGTAGCGCGCGGCGTCCTCGTAGCGCGGCGCGTCCTCGGGCCGCGGCGCGGCCGCGGCGGCGTCGTCGAAGCCGGGCGCGTCGTCGGGGAAGTAGCCCGCCGGCGCCGCGTAGGGCGGCGGCGACCCGGACGCGTCGAGGGAGCCCGCGGTCGCGGACAGGAACGACTCCTCGAGCGGCGCGTCGCCGTCGTCGTCGCGCGTCGGCGGCGCGCCCGCCGCGGCGGGCGCGTCGGCCCAGGCCGGCGCGTCGACGGAGAACGCGGCGTCGGCCGGGAACGGCGCGTCCGAGGCCGCGGCGGCGTCGCCGTCGGGCGCCGCGGCCGAGCGGCGCGCGGCCGCGGCGACGTGGTGCGACGAGAGCGACGAGAGCGAGAGGTCGTGGACGGGCCGGCCCGCCGCGGACGCCGTGGAGACGCGCGCCGGCGGCGGCGGGAGCGACGTCACGCTCTCGACGACGGGGTTCGCCCGGGGCGGCGCGCCCGCGGCGGACGAGAGCGAGAGGTCGACCGTCGCCGCGCGCATCGTCTCGTAGAGGCGCGCGCCGAAGCGGAGGAAGTCCTCGCCCTCGACGCTCGCGAGGAGCCGGGACGCGCCGTCGCCCGGGTCGACGTTCGACGCGGCGACGGCCTCCCAGGCCGCGGACGCCGCGTCGAGCGTCGACCGCGGCGCGCCGCGCGCGTCGCCGGGCGCCGGGTCCGCCGTCGACCATCGGCCCGGGTCCGCGCCGTCGACGGCCGCGCCGCGCATGGTCTCGTAGAGCCGCGCGCCGAAGCGCGCAAAGTCCTCGCCCTCGACGCTCGCGAGCAGCGCCGTCGCCGCGGCCGCGGGCGCGTCGAAGGCGTCCAGCGCCTCGAAGCTCCGCCGCGTCTCGTCGCTCCGCTCCGCCGCGGCGACGGCCGCGGCGTCGACGGCCGCGAGCACGGGGTTCGTCTCGCGCGTCGGCGTCGCGACGCGCCGGTCGAAGGCCGCGGCGGCGTCGCGGGCCGCGTCGCGCGCGAGCGCGTCGTCCTTCCGCGGCGACGCGGGCGGCGGCCGCGGCGGCCGCGGCGCCTTCGCGCCGCGGCCCGCGGCGACGCGCGACCGGAGCGCGGCGACCTCGGCGCGCTGGCGCTCGATGGCGCGCTTCTTCTCCGCGCGGCGGATGCGCGTCGCGTCGACCTCCATGCGCCGCAGCCGCGCGCCGTCGTCGCGCCGCGGGCTCACGACGAGCGCGAGGCTCGCGGCGCGGTCGTCGGAGCCGTCGTCGACGGACGACAGCACGGCGAGCACGTGGAGCTGGAGGCCCCGGACGGACGTGAACCGCAGCGCCGACGCGCCGCGCAGGCGGAAGAGGGGCCGCGGCGCCGGGTCGAAGCACACGGAGCCGAGCGCGCCCCGGAGCTCGCCCGCGTCGTCGCCCTCGCGGTCCTCGTCGACCGCGCCGCCGTCGCCGCGGCAGCAGATGGCCAAGGCGACGCCGTTGGACGCGGACAGCAGGACGCAGCCGGACGTGCCGCGCAGCGCGCCGAGCAGCCCGGAGAGCTGCGGGAGCAGCCACCGCTCCGAGTTCGCCGACTCCGGGTCCGCGCGGAGCTCCACGGGCTTGGCCACGAGCCGCAGCGCGTCGCGCCGCGACGCGACGACCTCGGCGACGCCCGCCGACGCCGGCGCCACGCCCACGGCCGCCGACTCCCGCAGCGCCGCCTCGACGCGCTCGGGGTCGTCGAAGAGGTCGCCCTCGTAGGCCGACTCGCCCGCGCACCACTCGGCGGCGTAGTCGACGCAGAGGCTCAGTGCTGTCGACGTGGTCGGCAGCGACCCGTAGGTCACGTGCGCCGAGTGCATGGCGGCAACCAAGTGCTGCTGGCGGACGACGAGGCGCGCACCGCTGCTCAAATCGCAGTGGTAATAAACTGGGAGGCTTGCCTCAACATGTCGAAGATGCCGGCGCGCGCGCGCGCAATGGGGCAGCCCACTTGAAAGAATCATAATGCACTAATGCAGCGCCTTGCCGCATCGCTGTGCGTCGCATGCTGCGTCGCACAAACGCAGAACCCCGCGTGCGAACGCGCCACGGCGGCGACGGGCGGGCTCATCGCGTGGAACGCCACGGCCAAGCGCTGCGAGCCGGACGTCTGCGACGGCTCGCCGGAGGGCATCCTGGACTTCTTCGCGACGCCGCCCCCGCCGGCGGAGGGTCAGCACTACGTCAAGAAGCTCGGCGCGGGCTTCTGCGACCACGTGCAGACCGAGAGCGCCTACGCGCGGTGGCGGCCCGGCTTCGTGCCGTCGCGCCTCGCGTGCGGCCAGCGGCTCTTCGACGCGCCCGCGGCGCGGTCCTGCCTCGCGAAAAAGCGGGTCGTCTTCCTCGGCGACTCGACGCTGACGGAGGTCGTGCACGGCCTCGTCATGACGCTCTTTGGCGACGGCACGCAGTGCGGTCGGCGCCTCGCGGTGGAGACTCGGCAGAAGAAAAAGCCTACGCGGCGGGAGAAGCGGAAGCACCGCGATAACGCGGGGAAGCACCGCGACGACGCGCGGCCGGCCAACCCACAGCAGTGCGGGAGCGCGGCGTCGTACCTGAAGCGGCTCGCGTCGGTCATGAAGCTCAAGCACACGGCGCCGTACCATTCCAAGCCGCTCGCCTTCGACCGCGTCACCGTCAAGTTCGAGGGCGCGGGCCCCTACGGCGCCAAGAACAAGTGCGCGCGGCCGGCGGAGAACCGCCGCTTCTCGGCCAAGTTCGGCGACGTGCTCCTGCAGCACCGGTGGACGGGCGCGACGAACCCGTGCAACCGGCCCGGCGGCGAGGGCCTCTCGGCGCTCGTCGACGGCAAGCTCGGGGCCGCGGACCTCTTTCTCGACAACGCGAATAAAATTGACGCCGTCGTCGTCGCGTCGGGCGTCCACGACCTCCACCTCGGGCCCTGGGACGCGACGGCCAAGTCCGCGAAGATAGACAAGCCGCCGCGGTCGCGCGACGACTACGCGGCCCTCGTGAACCGCTCCTTTTCGCGCCTCGAGGCCCTCGGCGTGCCCGCGCGCAGGGTCGTCTGGCTCTCGAACAACCGCCTCGGCCGCTGCAACGACGGCGGCATCCTCGGCGCCTACGACGCCGCCGCCGAGGCCGAGGCGGCGCGGCGCGGCGCGGCCTTCGTCGACGGCTCCGAGGTCCTCGAGCGCCACTTTGCGCAGCCCTTCCTCGCGACCTGCTGCGGCGACGACCTCGGCATCCATCGCGGCGTCATCCTCAAGGTCAGCGACCCCTCGAAGCTCCTCGTGGCCTCCGCGTTCGAGATCCAGAGCCTCCTCGGCGCGCTCTGCGGCGGCGCCGTCGGCGCCGCGGAGGAGGCCGCGACGACGGAGGCCGCGCTGCAGTCCGAGAACGCGCGCCTGCGCGAGCGACTCGCGGCCGCGGAGGCGCGCGCGGCCGCGGCGGAAGCGAGCCTCGCGGCGGCCACCCGGGGCGACAACGCCACCGGCCGGCCGCCCGGATAAAAACATTACGCTCGCGCGACGGCCCTGATCGCCCGGAGCCCGCCGAGGACGAGGTCCGCGTAGGCGTTGAGGGGCCCGCCGCACCAGTGGACGCAGTCCGGCCAGTCGCCGAAGGCCGACGGCTTCTGCATGGTGTCGCGCGTGAGGCCGAAGTGGCCCGTGTGCGCGCGCTCGCGAAGCGCTAGCGCGTCGAAGCCGCCGACGTAGGTGAGCGGCACCGGTGATGACTCAAACGTCGCAGCCATGATCTCCGCGAAGATGGCGTTGACGCCGGGGATCGCGTGCCAGTGGTAGCCGTACTGGGAGTAGGCGAACTTCTCGCCTACCAAGCATGACGGTGACGATTTCTCATTGTTTTCCCACCCAAAATCTCTCGAAAATCATCACGGCCACAGGACGCCGCTTCTCGCGGTCGGCGTCGGAGCGCCAGCGCCACGTCGACGCGTTCTCGCAGTGCTCGCCCGCCGGCGGCGCGTCGAGGACGACGACGCCCCGCGCGCCGGCCCGCTCGGCGACGTCGCGCAGCTGCGCCGCGTAGGCCGTGACGGTGTCGTGGAACTTGCTCGGCGGCGCCGCGGCGACGACGGCGCCGCGCGCCGCGAGGCCGTCGAGCGCCGCCGCGAGCGCGGCGCGGTCGCAGCCGTCGCCGTTGCAGGCGCGGAGCGCCGCGAGTCCCGCGGCGTAGGCCGCCGTGAGCGGCGCTTCGTGCACCGTGTGCGCGGCGCCGGACGTCGCGAGGAGGACGACGCCCGCGCCGCGCCGCGGGAGGAGCGCCTTCGCGAGGCAGGGCGCGCCCCAGGACGCGCCGTGGGCGACGTAGTTGACGAGCGAGCACGAGGTCGCGCGCTTCATCTCGTTGTGGACGAGCTTGCCCCGGCAGGTCTCGAGGTACTTGTTCCCGACCGCGTTCGCGATCTGCTCGACGATGCTGTCGCCGAGGAAGTGGAACCGCTCGCTCCGCAGCAGCCCGCAGGCGTCCTCCGCGAAGCGCGTCGCGTTCCCGCCGACCGTCGGCGTCCAGGTGCCCTGCTCGCAGTGGCAGATGTGGTGGATCTTGCCGCTCTTCAAATGGTGCGGCTCGTAGACGCAGGCCTCGAGCGGCGACGGGCTCCAGGCGCCGCCGCGGGAAAAGCTCACGTTCACGACGGCGGCGCGCGCCAGCGCGGCGACGGCGAGCAGCGCGCGCATCATCACTCGAGCCTAGAGCGCAGCGCCAAGTGCGGGCTCTCCATCATGGGCAGCCCACTTCAACTTGACGTACACGTTCTGTGATCTTTCTGTGGCAACGAAATGCTTCTCTTCGGGGCCGATCGCGCCTTGCGCGTGCGCCGGCCACTGCCTCGCCCGCTGCGGCCTCGCCCGCTGCGATGGCGCCCTCGTCGCACGGCCGCATGCTGCTGCTGCTCGCGGCGGCGTCGGCCGCCGTCGTGCCCCACGACGTGTCCGCCGCGTGCGCGCACCCCAAGGAGACGGCGCCGACCTGCGCCAACAACGCGACGCTCTTCGCGTACCTCGAGAGCGCCAAGGGGAACAAGGACGTGCAGACGGACAACTGCGCGACCTGCGCCTGCGCCGAACAGGGGAACGACCAGTGGGCCGCGCTCAACGCGCCCGCGCGCGGCGACGCGGCCGTCTTCGAGCGGTCGTGGGGCCGGTGCTGCGACGGCTGGAACGGGACCGCGTGCGACGTCTGCGAGACGCTGGCCGCGTGCCCGTCGCGCCGGGACCCGAAGACGGGGACGACGGTGGACGCCTACAACTGCACCGCGGGCCTCGTCGAGCCGACGGCCGAGGAGCTCGACGTCGGGAAGCGCTTCAGCTGCGTGCCCTGCGGCTCGGGCATCGAGAACGCGTACTGCGGGTACACGGACCTGCCCGGCGCGTCCTTCGACGTCGTCGCCTTCGCGGAGCGCGCCGAGGTCGCCTGGCGCCTCGGCACGTTCCGCGACGACAACGTGCACTTTCCGAAGCAGAACTTCTACGACTACGCGGCGTACTTCGAGGGCAACCTCACGGGCTGCTCCTACGCCAACGACGTCTGCGCCTGGGACGATACGAAGAAATGCCTGACGCTGACCTGCGGCGCCACGGCCATCGACTGCCCGCCCGCGGGCCTCGACGAGTGCCCCGGGTGGACGTACGACCCGTGCAAGCACCACTACGTCTGCGAGAACGAGTGCGTCAAGAAGTCGGTCTTCGGCTGCTGCAAGCCCAAGGACGGCGACGACGACGACGTCATGCACGGCCACCGCTACCACGTGAACAACCCGCTGTGCTGCGCCGCGGGCACGGAGGACGGCTGCCAGCCGACGGAGATCTTCTGGAACGGGCCCGCGACGACGTTCTCCTGCGAGCTCGACGCGAGCGAGCCGCTGATGCCGGCGACGGCGCGGCGCTGCTACCTGAACCAGAAGCACACGGGCGTCGACGGCTTCCCGCTCACGTGCCACGTGGGCAACTGCCTCTACAACGCGTCGCAGCACAACAGCACGCCGCCGTCGATCGTCGACGACGACGTCCACTTCCGCGAGCCGCGGCCCCAGCGCGGCGTCGTGCCCCAGCTCGTCGCCCTCGGCGCCGCCGTCCTCGCCCTCGCCGCCGGCGCGGCGGCGGCCTACGCGACGTCGCCGCTCCGGCGCCGCGGCGCCGCGCTCGTCGCGGAGCTCGGCGCCGCCGCGGAGGCGGCGAGGGCGAGGACGGCGGCGCCGAGGGCGACGAGCTGGGGCACGACGCCGCGCTGGGGCCGCGGCTCGCGGAAGTGGACGTCGTCGTCGACGATCGACGGCGGCGTGCTGTTGTGCTGCGACGCGTTGTAGAGGCAGTTGCCCACGTGGCACGTGAGCGGGAAGCCGTCGACGCCCGTGTGCTTCTGGTTCAGGTAGCAGCGCCGCGCCGTCGCCGGCATCAGCGGC